GGTCATGTTTCTCTAGTTTAGGTTTTTGTTAAGATGCCTCAGAATGACACATTTGCAAGATGATTCCTTAAACTGTCTGCAGGAGGCGCCATGTTAGGGACTCATGATAACAGGAGAGATGACATAAAATCTGAATTTCTGCAGTTAACCTCAGAGCCGTGATTAAATCGGCTGGCTTCCATTAAAGGACGACTCACCCCTAAGTCCCCTTTATTTGCTGACAAACTGTCTTCTACGGCTGTCTACATTTTCCAGCCATTATTTCAACATTTAATTGCTCATTTGTTGAAATCCTGCTTTTGTGTCTAAAACCACCTGTTTGGCGCCCTCCTCAGGTTAAAAAGCTGTAACTGCATCTGACTTCTGCTGTTGACTTAGCAGAGGATGTGATGTAATTTAGGAGAACTGAGGTCAGCAGCTGTCCTTCACTTAGGGACTGACAGTAAATAAATGATTTGGTTATAATATTAAATAAAAGTTAATTACGATGTTCTTTATTAAAAACATTCATTTAAAGAAAGGAAATGCAGTAAAATAGGATAAAAACCAGCCTGCGTCATCCGGTCTGATGATACGACATCAGTTTGGTGTCACTCAATCACATGACCAAAAAGAAGAATAAAATAAATAAGAAAAAATTCAACAAACACAATTGTGCCTCGTCTTTCTAGTCTAAAAGTATGAGCTGGATTTTATTTAGTGTCAGTGAGGCACAAGACATGAAAGAAATTATCTTTTGTTTATCAGAGCATTTAGTTTGGATATTTACTGACGGTCTGCAACAGAACCAAGAGGGGAGGAGGAAGCAGAACCACACAGGGCCTCTGATCAAGCCGGTATCACTCAGCAAAGAGCAGAAAAAGAATCTAAACTTTAGAAGTACGTGGTAACGAGTCCAAGTAGCATGAAAAAACCGACAGGTTCTGGAACCAGTCCTGCTTAAGTACTGCAACCACCTTGGTGTAGTTCCTCTCCCACAGATCTCATTAATCTAACCCATAGTGATCGGGGGAACCACTGAGACGCCTCAGAGGGACCAGTTCCTATTTTCAGACTTTTATTTTGACATCTATACTCAAAACCAGACCTATTGGACCTGTGTGGGTTTCACTGTGTGTCTCCAACCTTGCAGCGCTGTAGTCCCAGCTGGCCTCCTCTATTCTGCCCCTCAGGATACCGATGTCATTGGACACCATGTCATCCAGCGCCTGCAGCTCCTTCTGGATCCTCTTCAGCTTCACCGCCTCAGCTTGAGTCTGTTTGGATCTGAACAGAGCAGCAAATGTTTGAGATGATGTTTCTGCCTCCATAAGCAGGAACCGCCCCCCTTCGAGCATCTAACGAGCACTGCTTACTTCTCAGCGATGGTTTTAGCCAGAAGAGCTTTCTTGCGTTTGTTCCTCTCCTCGATTTCCCTCTGTTCCTGCTGCAGCTGCTCCAGACGTGTCTTTTCTCTCCTGTAATTGTAATTAAACATAAGATTTCACATGAATGCACATAAGGCAAAATGGTTAAGTGAACAAAACGTTCCTGAATTAATGCGCCGACTTCTTGGAAACGCCTGAAGCTGTGAGGCAGCGTGAGCCGCCTGATGTTTGTATTACAGCGCAGCTCAGAGTCAGAATTAGACCTGGACAACTTTTATTATCATTTTGTATACACAGAGTGTATATAAAACTAAACTTTGTTTAGCACAGCTTTTCAGACAGTAATTGAACATTTCCATTCCATAAAGTGCAGCACTGATTAAATGTAAACAGTGTGGGAGAAAAATCATGGTGCAAAAAAAAAACACATTGATATGGTAGTTCAGACGAGGCAAACTGTACAGAAAGTAAAGGATAGAGGAAACAATGTGCATGTGTGTGAGTCAATACTTCTAACCAAGAGAAGGAGATAGGTAGGTGGAGGTGCATTGTGGGTATTGTAGTTTCCAGTGGGATGTCTGTCTGCTGTGGGACCTTCACTGTGTTCACCAGAGACTTCCAGAGCTTTTAAATAAACTTTATTTCACTGACCAGCTGTTTTTAATGATGTATAAAACAAATAAATGATCATTTAAATATTTTAGGTTAAACTCACAGTTCAACCTCCTGTTTGTCCAGCTCCTTCACCTCCTCTTCTTTCTCCTTCTTCTCTGCAGCCGGATGGTGGATCTCATTCGGCTTCATATCAGCAGGTTCCTGCTCCTCTTGTCTGACAGCAGCAGCGCCTGTCTGTTCAGCAGGAGCTTCTGTCTGTTCTGGAGGCTGACCATCCAGCGTCAGCGGCGGCTTGCTGAGCTGCTGACCTGGTAGGAGGCTCTGTGAGCCGGCTAACTGCAGCGCTCTCTCCCGCTGCATCTTCTGCCGGCTCCGGCCGGCGACTGGGGGCCTCCTTCCGCGGGGAGCACCAGGAGGTCCGGCGGAGTCTGAGGAGAGAAACCGGGGCAGGTGTTTCAATGTTAAAGCGGATTTAATCATCAGACTGTGTGGCTGTTTTACCTTTCTGCTGGATCCTCCGCAGCTCCTCGTCAGAAAAACCCGCCCAGCCGCTCATCCTACAGCCTCAGGCGGAGAGGAGCCCCTAGAGGAGCCCCGCTAACACACCCGGCTAACTGGCGGGGGAGCCAAGATAGAAAACTTCACAGAAACACAGAAAGTATCTCCAAACACTTCCGCCATCTTTGTTTACCACTGCCACGTGAAGGACCCGAAGCAAAGAGAGAGTCCCAAACACCGCCTGAACAAAAAAAAAAAAAACTTGGGAAAACTGTCAAAACTTGGTATTATGGTGTCAGAATGTCACTGTATTCATTCTTATTTTCTATACATGTATATAAAGGCAGTTTTAAAAAAAATAAAAATTATTAAAAGTTCAGATCGAAATAATCCTATTTTTGGCTTGTTTAAAATATCTAGTGAATTTAAATTCTAGATTATTATATCAACAATAAATGGTCAAAGTTGTATTGTATCCTGCATAATGACATTATTTGGTGGTTCCTTTATGAGATCCCTAAAAGGCTACTACCAGGGGTCAGAGGTTTGAATTAAGTTTGTGGATCTGAAAATAAATCAGAGCAGAAAGATGAACCCTGTGCTTCGGTTTGAATTTGAAATTAAACTTTCTTTGTTTTCCTTCATGTTACGACTAGCTTTAAATTAGTTGAAATTTAAACTAGTTGAAATTAGTTTAAATTGGACTAACTTTAAAGAGTGTCGGCCTAGTTGTTAGAGCAGTGCCCTTGTGCTCAGAAGGTTGCAAGTACCCGGTTTAATCCCCACAGCCATTGAGCAAGACCCTTAAAACCCACAGTACTCCCCGGGGAACCGCACAATGGCAGCCCACGGCTCCCCTAAGGGATGGGTTAAATGCATTTTATTGCTTTGTACTTGACAATGTAATGAAAATACATTTAAACTCTATTCAAATCATTTAATTGGTAATTTATTAGACAGACTAAGACAAGGAAACAACAGAGTACAGTGGAAAGAAAGTGCTGAATGTTTTTCATTTTCAGTATTCTTTAACACTATGCTCTCTGTTTTTCTTCTGCTTTATCTGGTCTGTTCCTGTTTGGCTGTGACACCATCCTGGAGAGAAATATCAGCTGTGCTGCTGCCATCAACATCTTTGCTTATAGACATTCGAAATGGGCCTGTTTTTCAGAGTAGATGTGCCCTCTTTCATCCTCTGACATTGGAGCTGGCTCTGAGCTCGTCTGCCTGGCTGTGTGCCTTTTGTATCTCTGCTTCTTTTTCTATTTCTGCTTCTGTCTCCTCAGACAGATGGCCGCTCACATTGAGCCTGGTTGTGCTGGAGGTTTCTTCCTATTAAAAGGGAGTTTTTCCTCTCCACTGTCGCTATAAGCATGCTTAGTGTGAGGGATTGCCTTCGAGTCAATGAGTCAATGCAATCAACTGGTTTTCCTTAGATAGAAAACTTTGAATAAATTTGACTGTATGATGTGGTTGAATTGTAAAGGTCCTTGAAGTGACATGTGTTGTGAATGGGCGCTATATAAATAAACTGAATTTAATTGAATTGTATTCACAAAAATAAGTCCTACATTTTATTTAAACCTTTCTGAATAAAACTCTTTTTACAAACACCATTTTCTGAAATAACAGGGGCATTTTTTTGTCTCTACCAACCTGAACTTCATTGCCATAGATTCTAAAATGAAGCATATTCCTAACCCAAAACACTGATTGGCTCATTACAGTGCTCTGCTGAACTGAATGAGGAAGTACTGAGGGACCATCTAACTCTCCAGGATGGTTGTTTTGGAGCACTGGACTCCAACACCCTGGATCCAAGTTGATTTTATTCCAGCATGGTCCTGCAAATCCTTCCATCGTCTATCATATCTGCCCAGACTCCTCAACCCCTATAATAAATGATAATCCAATGGTAAATGATAATTGGCTTGTACTTATATAGAGCTTTTTCCAGTCAGGAGACTTGACCAAAGCACTTTACATGGAATTCACTCATTCACCCATTCACAAACACACTCACACACTGATGGTGGCACTACATTGTAGCCACAGCTTGCCTGGGGCTCACTGACAGAAGCCGATGATGCCTCCATCACTATGGCTGAATGGATGATGGATGGATGGATGGATGGTTGGATGGTTGGATGCATGGATGGATGGATGGATGGATGGATGGATGGATGGATGGATGATTGGATGGATGGATGGATGGATGGATGATTGGATGGATGGATGGATGGATGGATGGATGGATGGATGGATGGATGGATGGATGGATGGATGGATGATGGATGGATGATTGGATGGATGATAGATGGATGGAAAGATGGATGGATGGTGGATGAATGATTGGATGGATGGATGGATGATTGGATGATTGGTTGGATGGATGGATGATTGGATGGATGGATGGATGGATGGATGGATGGATGGATGGATGGATGGATGGATGGATGGATGGATGG